CCACACCTGTCGCCACCCCTTTATTAGTCCATTAACTACCCCATCACCTTGTCATCAGCGGCGACACTCGCCGTATCCTTACTAGCCCCATCATTGCCTCCATCATTGCCTCCACCATTGTAGCGACCCCCCACCTACGATCTCCACCATCACGCCTCCTACCATTGCCACGCACCCTGTAGCGTACGCGATCGCTGGTGAGTGGGCGCACGCGAGCGAGCGAACGAGCAAGAGAGAGATTTGTATTTGATAGCAAAAACTTAAGGTTAAGGTTCCAGTGGGGCAGAAATGAGAGGAAGGGGGTTAGGGTTTGAAATGGAGAAAAATGAGAGATGATGGCGGTGGTTAGGTTTTCAGAGGGAGTGAAAAATAAAGATAATGGGAGAAGGGTTCGCAAGTGGGTTAGGGGATTCATGGCTATGAGAGGCTGTGGCGTGGTGAGGCGGGAGTGGATGAAGGGTTGGGAAGGGATGACTAGCCTAGTGGCAGAAGGGGTTGAAGAAAGACAATTGGCCTACAGTAGGTAGAGGTTGGGTAGGTGCTACTGGTGGGTGCGGTGGTTGATGGCGGTGGCGGAAGAGAAGGGAGGCTATGGAGGAGGCGACGACTAGAGGGAAGGGGGTGGCGGCTGGTGGTGGCTGTGGTAAAAGTTAGGGTTTGTTGGAGAAGAGGGTAATTTGATATTATTTGAAAAAAGGTGTTGTGGATTGGGACAAAATCAAAAATTTCAATTTAAATGTGGTGTGAACTAAGTAAAGAGTGAAGAAATGGTGTGTATTGAGACAACTAGTGGTGTGCAAATAGAATTGCTCAAATGTAAAACTGAATGGATATGACAAAAAATAGAAACCAAACCAAGCCTTAAGCCTTAAGTCCACTAGACTCTATCAAAGGCCATTTGATTAGTCAAAATAAGGAGATTCATATATCTAATTACTACACTAACTTATGTCAATCTAGGTCTCTCCCTTCCGCTAGCACTTTCATCTACCGTCACTATATTGCATCTCTTCACTACTGCCTCTACTGGTCTCCGTTGTATATGACCAAACAATAGCAATCTATTCTCTTTCAGCTTATTTTTTATCGATGCCACTCCTACCCATTCACAAATAGACTCATTTTTAATATTGCCACAAGTAACAACCCCGACTCATGATTAACGTATAATTCATGATTAAGTATGCCTAATAAGTAATTAAGGTGAAATTCTGAATTAATTGCTTGTGTGTTGTATTATTTGTGTTTTCATCTGTTTGTCATAGAAATACCTATTTATGTTTCTGTTTCGGTTTGTGAATTGAAGGCCTTATCGGCATCCGATTGTGAAATTGACTTGATTTATGTGTTACATAGAATTTTTGTAATTTTATGGTAGGTTTAATTAAAATTTGATTCGAAGTGATTAAATTAGAATAATTAATACCCATTTCATTAACTTTAATTAATCAACACTAGGTAAGCCTATATAAGGCCCCTTTATGTGCTTCAACTCATTTCTTTTCTTCATTTTTGGGCCTATACACACAACAAACGTGAGAGAGAGAAAGAGAGACCAAGAGGGAGATCAAAGTCAAGAAGAAAAAGGGAGAATCGCTAAGGATGATCAAGAATTGGAAGGAATTGGCGATAGTCGTTGAGCCTAGCTAGAATTTAAAGGGAATTGTGGACTTTAGGTATGAAAAGAACTCACACTCTATGAGCTTAAGTTACCTTATTGTCACGACCCAAACCCGGCCCTATGGGTTTAGCACCGTAACCGGCCAGTAATCTGAGATTACTGAAGGCCTGCAGAACAGTAGTATAGTAAAACAGAGTACAGGGCCTGGCGGAAGCCAAAACAGTAAATGAATAATGTCCATTGAGCTGTGTCAGTCTGTATGCCAAAAATATTTTTCATGCATTCACATATACAAACAGTACAGTCTATACAAAATTTACAGTCACACAGTACAGGGACCAAATCCCTTGATAACAGTACAGTTAGTAGCTGACAGTCTATACAGTAAACCAAACAGTACGGAGACAGACGGGGGAAAAACAAGACACCCCAAAGCCATAGCATGGCAACCCGGAACCTCGCAGCGAGGCACAAAGGCTGGCTTGACAAAACTGGAGTCTAACCCACGCTCCTAGCTCCGATCTGGCGACTGAGCACCTACATATATATATAAACAGTGAGCTAAAGCCCAGTGAATAACATAATGCGTAAAGAGGTTAAGAATGAATGTCCTTACAATATGAAATCAGTTCATTAAACAATACTTCAGCTTTCAGTCAGAACAGTTATTCAATCATTGTGGTACATCCATTAGCATAGCAGTAACAAGTAGTCTTAAAGACCGAACAGTAATGATGGCCATCAATCAGTAAACAGTAGTGGTTCACGAAGGAACGACAGAGATCTCTGTAACAGTAACAGTCAGTAACAGTAGTTGCTAAGGATGCCACAATACAGTTCAGAATAGAGCATACATTCAATCAATTAACATTAACAGTTCAGAAAGCAGTACAGTTCAATGTCAGAAGATAATCATTTTGAACATATCTTTACACAGTGTTACTCACAGAGTTTGGGCTACAGTATGCTAGAGCGCGCCTCCCCAGTCGCCAACCTACACAGTTAACAGATTGAACACACACTAAGCTACACAGTTGGGAGATAACATAATTTAACCCCTATGCCTCGGTGTGTTTACATCTATTCCTAACAAGATGTCTAAACTAGGCCTAAGAATGCCTAGAATGGAATGAGGATGCAGAGATGTGATCAGAAGACTGTTTCTAGATTTTCAGAAAAACAGAGTCCCGCTCGAGCGCAGGTTTCCCCTCGACGGTCATGCAACAAAGTACACGCTCGAGCGTCAACTTTCCCGCTCAGGGGTACTGTAAAATTACTAGATGGGTGAAATGCTCGCTTGACGCTCGCTCGAGCTTGAGACATGACTACGCTCGACGCCAATCCTCCGCTCGAGCGGACTGTAAAACAGTGCAGAGATACTGGATGCTTCGGATTCCACGCTCGAGCGGCACTTACCCGCTCGAGCGCGTGCAAAATCTGGAAATCCCAGATTGCACCTCCAGCTCAAACTCATATTCAAATGCATCAAAACCAATTCTCTTGGGCCCATTTTCTGGAAAAACATTTTAAACACATAGAATATCCTAGTTCAAAGCTCAATTTTGAGAATCAAGGCCAAGGGTGTTTAATTCAAACTCAATTTCAAACAATTTCATGAACAATATGAACACGCAACATGCATGAATTCAAATCATTTGGAAGTTCCAATCTGATGCTCTAAGGGAGCCAATTGATCCAAAAACAAGTTGAAAACATGGACCATTACAAAATTATGAACATGCATGTTCCATTTCACCATGGATTCAACTCCCAACTCATCAATTCAAACATGCATACATGAATTATGCTCTATATCAACATGTATGAAACTAACACATGGCTCAATTCCTCAACTTTAACGTGAATCATGCAAGACCAAGAAGCAAGAGGTAATTACTCTACCTTAGGTCTCCAATGCAAGATTTAGGAGTTCAATTATGGAGTCTATACATCAATTCTTCAATTCTCCAAGCAATTCACAAAGTAGAACTCAAGATCAATCAATTCTCTCTCTCTCTCTAACTCTCTTCTTGGTCGGTTGAGGCAACCCAAAGGCTGATGAAACGTTGTTTTAATCAAATGCACTAAGTGTAATAAGCCTCAAAAGGTTTGAGGTAGTGGGCCACTACAAGGCTAGTTTGGTAAATAAGTCCTACTTGGCCAATCAGCTTATTTTAATCTAATTTAATCATACCTAATCATCTTTCAGATAATTATACCATAAAATCACATTAATTATAAGGATCCTAAAACATCAATCAATTCCCGGTTCGGCCGCCGACAAGGCCTTCAATTAGCAGTTTAAACGTAAAACACGAACAGATCAAATAATCAATCAAACAGATAGATGCACAATTAAACAGATAGACTCAGTCAATTAATTCCAGATTCCAGTCAGTCAGTTCAGTACTTTAATCAGTCCAATTATCAGTCATAATCAGTCATTAATCGGTAAACAGTATGAGGGTTGTTACACTTATGCATTAGTCAATGAGAATTGAGGCTAGATGGTAGAATTGAACATGATTCATGCATGCATGCGCATATCATGAAGTTTTGAAGTTGTTTTTGCAAGAATCTTCACATGCATGACCTTCCATTGGCTATGGTTTCACAAATCAACCTGGTTTTGCCATAAGCGTCTCAATAGATCATGGTTTGGTTGGTTAAAGAGCATATCATCACATGCATGTTATAGTTTGGAAAACTTCAAGTTTGATTTTGAGCAATTAACATGCTTTGGACCTTGATTTCATGAAACAATCTTTAATTCTCCATGATTCGCAAGTTTACAAGTGTTTTCTCAAGTTTTGGAGCCCAAAGGTTGCATTTTAAAGCTTTGAATTCGAGTTTTGGACTTAGGAGTACAATCTGGAAATTCTAGAATTCTGCCCTCCGCTCGAGCTACAGAACTTGCGCTCGAGCGACCAAAAGTTGGCTCGAGTGTAAAATGCAAGCTCTCAGAAGTTTCCAAATTTTGCAGACCGCTCGAGTGACAAGAGTTGCGCTCGAGCGAAGACCTTAGTCTCATGCTCGAGCGACCGTCGAGTGGCCGTTGAGCTAAAAAATCACACAACTAGTACTTTTGCAGAGTTTACAGACCGCTCAAGTGAAGGAAGTGCTCGAGTGACCACTCACATTTTTGAACCTCCGCTCGAGCGAAGGAAGCTACGCTCGAGCAAGGACCCTGTTTTCAACATGTTTGGCTAAGTGTTGAACAACATGTTTTGGCATCCTCATTGTATCCTAGGCATTCCTAGGCCAAGATTAAGACATAATAAGAAGGATAAGACTTAGAAACACGCTAAGAATGAAACGTAATAAGTCAAGTATATTTCGAGTGTGTGTTTCAATCTGTGTATCTGTTATGTTTGTGTAGGTCACGCGCCGTAAGCTATCTGATTTGTCTGCTTTGCCTATCTGCTTTTGGAGCCATTTGTGAGTAACAACTCTATAAAGCTATGTTTAATTATAAGTATTTTCTAGTTGAAATGATATGATTTGTTTTCTGAAATGCTATTTTATGAATCATGAATGAATGTCCATTTTTCTGAAATGTATTTGTGGCATCCTTAGTTCACGTGGCCCTCGCCCGGGGGTAACAATACCGTGGCTTATGTTCATGTGGCCCTTGCCTGAGGGTAACAAACTAAGGCCTATGTTCATGTGGCCCTCTCCTGTTGTTAATAATACCATGGCTACTTGTGCACAAGATGCGGTCGTCGGTACCAACTCTGCAAAATTGATATGATATGATAGGTAAATGGATGTGCCACATATAACTGCTATGATTTTTGGTAAAGTAAGCAAATCTGAATTGGTATCTGATTCGAAATTTGCTATGGACGTCATTCATTAAATTCTTTACTCTGTGATTATTCATTGGGATTCGCTCACTCTATTATTTATGTGTGTAGGTGACCAGGCGTGTGACCAGGCTCTAAGTTGATGACTTGGAGTTTTGGTTTGTCAGCCACCCTTTTGTGCCTCCCAAGGAGGTTCCTGATTAAGTCAAGTCTTGTGGCCATCTTTTGTGATCGTTTAAGACTTTGTTTTCTTTTAATACATGAACAAGATTTGGTTTATCTGTATAATGGCTTGCGTTCCCTTTTTGTTTTATCTGTAATGTATATGACGTAAGACTATTGCACATATGACGTCACGGTTCTGTATATAAGTTTTTGAATTCTGTCCCATGTGCATCAACACAACTCAATGGACTATGTATATTTTCTATATTTGCTTCCGCAGCCCCCTTACTATGTCATGATCTGTTCAGAGGCCTTTGGTAATCCAAGGATTACTGGCCGGTTACGACGCCAAACCTATAGGGACGGGTTCGGGTCGTGACAGAGTGGTATCAGAGCATGAGTTATACCGTACACATGAGTCCGTATGAGCTATAGGGTATCCTATAAAAGAATTAGAGACATTTCGTTCTCATGTGTGAGTGTGTGTTACATTTTGTAAATGTGCAAACTAAAACTAGAGATGAACTTATGAACTCGTGCAATAGAACGAAATAAACTTATGCTGAACATCGTGAACAAGATTATTCCTTTGTTTATTATTGCTTTGTTTACCTATAGCAAATGGAAAACACAAGAACTAATGATGCCACTGAGTCCTCTGAGGCCTGAATGAGCAGAATGGAATAGATGCTTGTAGCTTTGACTAAGGCAATTACGCAACAACAGAGGCAACAACTGTTACCTCCACCACCTTTGGTGCCCATTGAACCATAAAATACTGATATTATTGCACTAACGCAGAAGTTCAACAAAATGAAGCCACCAATCTTTTTAGGTGGGATTGAGCCGTTGAAAGCTGAAACATGGCTGTTAGAGACCGAAAAGATAGTTGAAGTATTTTCGTGCTCAGAAACTCAGAAAGCTCTTTTGGCCGCCTACACACTGAAAGAAGCAGCTAGACGATGGTGGATGCTTATCCGAGATGGCAGTGGAACTATGACATGGAGTCAGTTTAAAGGAGTATTCTACGAGAAATATTTTCCTTAATGCTTCAGAGACTATAAGGTGTCAGAATTTCAAGAACTGAAGCAAGGCAAGATGTCTGTAGCCGAGTATGAGGCTAAGTTCATCGAGTTGGCCAGATTTGCTCCTCATATGGTTGACACAAATTACAAAAGGGCTCGAAAGTTTGAAGGGGGATTAGACTTGGACGTGTTTGATTGAGTGGGCGTTCTAAAGTTGCCTACATATGTGGAAGTACTTGATAGAGCATTGATGGCAGAGGCCATTTTAGCTACAAAGAAACAAGCCCCAGCTCCAACAACTAAATGGAAGGGTAAAAGATCTAGATTTAATTTCAAGAAGGGTCGATCATTTGCAAAAAGGCAGAATACGGGATCCTCCAGTAGCTCTAGTCAGAATAATGGATCTATTCCAAACTGTCCCAATTGCAGAAGAAAGCATAAAGGCACATGTTACCGTGCATCAAGTGCTTGTTTTCGTTATGGTAAGGCTGGCCAAATGCTTAGAGATTGTCCGCTAAGATTCGACGATGCCAACTGTCCTGCAGCAAGTTTGGTCGGGTTTGCTTCTATAGCAAGAACAAATGCAAGAGTTAATGCCAGGGGTAACACGGGAAATGAGACACTAAGACAGTGGAGAGTGTTTGCACTAGTACCCAGGGATATACAGAACACCGAGTCTGTGGTGTCAGGTATAATTTCCACCGGTAACCAAAATGCATGTCTTGATAGATTCTGGTTCTACACACTCATTTGTGTCTCATGCCTTTTCTCAGAAATTGACTAGACCTTTAGAACCTATGAATTATTTCCTGTCTGTATCTACACCATCTAGGGGTTCTATGATATGTGTTTATGTTTATCCGGCATGTGATATTGTGATTAGTGATATGGCATTGTATGTTGATTTGTTACCTTTGAGTATTGACCATTTTGACTATATATTGGGCATGGGTTGGTTGACGAAGTATTGTGCAACTATTGATTGTGTGCATAAAACTGTTATGTTTCGACCACCTAGTATGCCTGAGTTTGTATTTGTTGGGAATGGGGTAATTTCTCCACTGTATTTGATTTCTTTTGTGAAAGCCAGGAAACTATTACAAAAGGGTGCGGGGTTACTTATGTTGCATGTCGACTGTGACTTCTGATAGTCCTACTGTAGAGAACATCTCTATAGTGAATGAATTTCCTGATGTATTTTTAAATGAATTGTCCGGAGAATTAATTGATAGAAAAATTGAGTTTACTATTGATGTTGCACCTGGAACACAACCGATTTCTAAGACCCTTTACCGAATGTCAACCTTTGAATTGAAAGAATTAAAAGTTCAACTCCAAGATTTGTTAGACGAGAAATTTATCCAACCGAGCACTTCACCATGGGGTGCTCTAGTTTTGTTTGACAAAAAGAAAGATGGATCTTTGAGGTTGTGTATAGACTATCAGGAATTGAATAAAGTGACTATCAAGAACAAATACCCATTATCCCAGATAGATGATCTCTTTGATCAACTTCAGGGAGCACAAGTGTTCTTAAAGATAGACCTTAGATCTGGATACCACCAGTTAAAACTGAAGGCAAAAGACATAGGGAAAACTGCATTTAAAACTAGATATGAGCACTACGAGTTTTTGGTAATGCCATTTGGGGTAACAAATGCATCAGCAGCGTTTATGGACCAAATGAATTGGGTTTTCAAACAATTTCTTGATGAATTTATCGTCAAAAACAAGGAAAAACATGAAATTCATCTGAGAATTGCCTTATAGATTCTTAGAGAAAAGAGGTTATATGCAAAATTTTCCAAGTGTGAGTTCTGGCTTGACAACGTGTCATTTTTAGGACATGTGATCAACAAGGATGGTGTATCAGTGGACCCATAGAAAATTGAAGCTATTGTGGACTGGTCAAGACCAACCAATGTGTCAGAAATCAGAAGCTTTCTGAGGGTTGTAGTTTACTATCGACGATTTGTGAAAGACTTCTCCAAACTTGTCATGTCATTAACTCAATTGACGCAGAAAAATGTGCCATTTGATTGGACTGATCAACGAGAGTCGGCCTTTCAAGAACTAAAGACCATGTTAGTGACTGCACCAATTTTGACTTTGCCTAATGGTACTGATGGGTTTCAAATTTACAGTGACACTTCATATAAGGGTTTGGGGTGTGTGTTAATGCAAAATGGGAAGGTGATTGTTTATGCTTCTCAACAACTTCGCCCTCGTGAAAAAGAATTACCCTACTCATGACTTTGAATTAGCCGCAGTGGTTTTTGCGTTGAAAATCTGGCGCCATTATCTGTATGGAGTGACTTACGAGGTGTATACTGATCACAAAATTTTAAAATATTTCTTTACTTAGAACAAACTAAACATAAGACAAAGATGTTGGCTTGAATTGATTAAGGATTATGATCTACAGATTTTGTACCATCCGGAGAAAGCCAATACCGTCACAGACGCTTTGAGTAGAAAGTTAATGGGAAATTTGTCATGTTTACTCACCGGTCAGAAAGAGTTGTTATGTGACCTAGTGAAGAATGAGATTGAAATTGTATTGCGTGAACAGGGCAGGATTTTAACCTCAATTTCCGCTCAACCTGCAATCATTGAAGAAATTAAAGAGAAACAACTTGATGATGAATTTTTGAAGAAGAATGTCGATGACCTTGACTCAAAATTGAGTTCGGGATTTGTGTACGATGATAATGTGTTGAAATTTCATGATAGACTTTGCGTGCCGGATTGTCTGGATTTGAGAAAACGTGTTATGACTGAAGCTCACAATTCAAAGTTTACTATGCACCCGGGAAACACGAAAATGCACAAAGGATTTGAAACAGAATTTCTGGTGGCCTGGAATGAAGAAAAGCATTGCTGATTTTGTGGCTAGATGTTTGCATTGTCAACAAGTTAAAGCTGAACATCAACGACCCGCTGGATTGCTTCAGCCACTTCCAATACCGAAATGGAAATGGAAACATATCATGATAAACTTCCTTGTGGGATTACCTCGCTCTTCTCGAGGTATGGACTCTATCTGGGTAATTGTTGATCGTTTGACCAAGTCTACACATTTCTTACCTGTCAAATCTTTGTATAATGTGGATAAGTTGGCTAACTTGTATGTTAATGAGATTATGAGATTATATGGTGTGCCAGTATCTATTGTATGTGACAGAGATCCTAAGTTCATCTCAAGATTCTAGCAGAGTCTATAACAAGCTTTGGGAACTGAATTAAAGACTGAGCAGTGCATATCACCCACAGACAGACAGCCAATTAGAAAGAACGATACAGACCTTGGAAGATATGCTCAGAATGTGTGTCCTAGATTTCCAAGGCAATTGGGAGACCTACTTACCATTAGCTGAGTTTGTGTATAACAACAGCTACCATTCGAGTATCGACATGGCACCTTATGAAGCTTTGTATGGTA